CGCAGCTGGGCCGTGGTACACGCAGCCTCCCCCGCCATACTCGCGTACCTGGGTTCCTCCGCCCCAGCAGTACATTCCACCGGCCCCTCGCTCCCAGCCTCCGTCCTACCACCACACCCCCGCATATGCGTTACCTTTCGCGCAGAGCGTGTGGACGGGCCACGGGTCATCCTGTGGTTGCCTGTATTGTGCCAAGCATATGGAGCACTACATGTGTGCGAACCCGTTTGGCTCGATGCAACCGATCGTGGCTGGTTAGTCAGGGGCTGCGGCCATCTAATCATTTCTCTGACAGAGTCCACTGGAGAAACGTGTTTCCTTCGATCCTGTTCTTCACTTCATTCTAGACCTGTCCAGGTTGTCCTTGTTTGTCTCTTTCCGTTATTACTGATGATACCGTGTTTCCTTCGTGTTTCTGCATGACTACCCGTTTTCTTTGGTCAGTTTCGGTTACGTCTGTGTTTCGCTGAAAAGTACCATCGGTCGCCTTTTTCCTCCGATTCTTTTTGTCTTTCATGCTTTCCGAAAAGCAAAAACTCCCAAAAAAAGTGTCCGACCGGTTGCGCATTTTCTGCACGATGTGACACTATCTTCCTTTCTTCTTTTCTTTGCCTTTCGCTTTCCTATCTCGATACGACTTGTTTCTTACGAAACACTCCTCTCATCGTGTCGAAAAGTTCTTCCAAGAGATTCCTTGCGCTGAAGCTCTGGAGTCAGATGTCACGACAATTACGATTGTTTCTCTCTGCGTTTTCGCCTGTGCTTCGCCGTTGCCTTCTCCATCCTCCCTCTTTGACCTGTTCGATCTTTCCTCATTTTCTCTGGATTTGGGCATCTCATCTGGCGACTGTTACTCATAGATTGTGTTGTGTTCCTTGACGCTTGTCAAGTTGGTACATTTGGCTTTCTTCTCACGCACGCTCCACTTGAGTCCCGTGGCGTTAATACCTTGTCTTTTTTTGTTCGGTTGCCTTTAATCTGTTTCTTTTTTCTCTTCTTTCTCATACTCATCTGTTCCGGTCGACAGATCCTCTTTTACTTTTCGTGATGCGACCAGAGTACATTACTGCAGCTTCGTGTTTGTGGAGGTGCGCTCTCGGTTGTAACATTACCATTATTTGTTCGCTTTACCTTCGATGACCTTTTCCATTTTGCATGTTTGTTTATTCCGCCCGACCCTCAAACCATTGGTGAGGCATTTGAAAAGTGATACTCCCCTTATGCCCCTTGTTTTACATTTACTCTTTTGTCTTGTCTTATTCCCCTCCCGGTGATTATAACACCCTCTTGTGTGGCTTCCTTTTTTATCTTTTCTCACTGCTCATTCCCTGAATGTAAGTTAGATTCTTTCACTACTTTTCTATCACCATTCACAAGAAATATGGGACAAAGACATTTCGAGCTTCCCTTACAAAAAAAGCACAGGGATCCCATTTGATATATACTGCTCTCCATTATTCCATCCCAAGTAACTCCTGTATATGTAAAACCTCTGTCACATTTCTTCTTTTACCTTTCCACCTTTTTCTCATCGAGGAAAGGTGTATTTTCACTGATCTTTGAACTAATTAGTCGCTCCCACTGACTTTGATGAAACCTTTAAAGAAACAAAACAAAGGTCTTGTTACTGATCTTCTTTTTCACAGCAAAACACAAAATAAAAAAGTATAATGATACCCATAACGAAATAATGACAAAAAATGTATTGACATCTGTCCTCTAATTCTCTGTAGAAAGTAGTCAACTTGAAGAAAATAAAAATAAAAAAAATAAAAAATAAAAAATAAAAAACCACAATGAAAACGCAAGTACAGATTTGAGTAGAACTCTAGTACCGTGAATCTAATGCGAAAATAAAGTAAGTAAACTTAAATGAGAGGGAACAATAAGATAGGAAGGATATTTAGTATGTTATGTAGTATTAGGATAATTGGAATTTATTGGATTGATTGGTTGCCCTGGGGTATGTATCTATCTGTCGATGTGCGTGTTCATTCATTCATTGAATAGATGGTAAGTCGATAGATTGTTGGCGGATGTGGCATGTTTGACGTGGGTTGTACATACATCATGAAGGAGGAAATCTAGGTTTTAACCACATGAGTGTGAAAGGGGTTAGAAGGTTATATGTACGGGTTCTAATGTACTGCGATGGTGTGAGGGTGTAGGATAGGCAGGTTGATTTGTCTTGTATGTTTGCTTGTATATGGGTATAGAAGAAAAAAAAAAGAATTTGCCCGTAGTCCTGTGCTAGTATACACTCCCCCTTATGCTCTGGTCGTGTTTTCTTTCAGCTTCGAACGAGGCGTCTTCTTCGTTGTAATCGTCCTCTTCATCGTCGCCGTGATGGTGATAGTGTTCATGATCGTGATCATCGTAAAGGCTGTCTTCACGGTTGTGGTCGTCCACTTGCTGCTTCTCGGCTTTCGAAGTTGGAGGATTGTTGGGGAGAGGTTCATCATCTAATCTATCTTGGCCTGCTCGATCCTGGTTGAGGGCGTTGGCGACTTGCTTGCTCAGGGTTTGGCGTGCTAGGCCCGGAGGGTTTCGGACATGGTGGCTGTGGGATCGGGTACGTCGGGGTCGCGCAGCCTGCTTGGAACTGCTTTCGTCGTCGCCGTCGTTATCTAGGTCTTGAGATGGTCTAACTTGATGGGCAGAGGGTGTCGGTTTAGGGCGGGAATGTGTCTGTTTGTGGTTATGGGTATAAGCGTGCATGTTGGGGCGAGGCTTCTCTTCGCGTTCGTCCTCCGACGGGGCGAGGCTGTTTGCGCCGCTCATGGAACCGCCACCGTCGCGGCCAACGAGATGGATGTAAGCGTAGTTGCAGTTCGGAGGATGGAGGAGGTGGTCTTCGCTGTCACGGTGGAGATGAGCGAGGCCAGGGCGGCGGGGTATCGGGCTGAGGTTTGAGGTTGGTTGGCTCAGGTGACTGATAGTGGTGGTGGATGCAACGGGTGTCGGGAAAGTTACTTGAGAGGTGGACGTGGTTTCAAGCTGTACACCTTCGAACTCGTATTGCGGAGCTGGGGAAGGCAGGGTCCTTTCAAGAGGCCTTGCATCGATAGAACGATCTCCCAAAGCTGGCTCCGGGGCTCTGAGCATCTGCTGGTCAACCGGAGTGGCTGTCCCCGTTCCAGCCGGGACTGGTCTTGGGTGGCCGTTTTGGTTCCCGTGAGATCTGTGGTTGTGTGTAGCATTGTGTGTTGTTGTCTCCCTCGGCTGAGGGTCATGCTGATGCTTTGGATGGTCTGCGTTGTGTGCACGAGGCGTACGTAGAGAACTTCGTCTTCGGACGCCGTGATTGCATCCATCAGGACAGCCACCCCATTTGCGACGGATAGGGACTGACGTCTCTGGTGGTGCTGGCTGCACTGGATCCAGTCCTTTGGCTGCCCGCTCACGCTGCCGCTCTTCCTCTTTCTCCTTCCGCAGGTCGGACCAGGTACGTAGCTGATTCTGGAGGACGTATTTCCCGTTGTCTGGGTTGAGTTTCAAAATGACGAATTCGCAGTGGTTAATGTTGCGGAGATCTTCGAAGTATTCCACACTCCAATGGTACCATTTCATGAGGAAAACCCGCGTCATCAATCCGTGCGTAACGAGCACGCAGACACTGGCGAAGTCGTCCTCTCCGAACAGACGCCACAGCGACTCGTTGAACCCACTGACGCGGTCGTAGGCATCGGCAGCAGATTCACCGTTGGGAATTCGGTAGAAGAAGTGACCGTAGTCTGCCCTTTCGAGCCACATACGCTCCATCTCGGCTGAACATGGTTGAAAGTTCCCGAAATCTTGCTCCCGCAGCCGGGGTTCTTCGTAGACCTTGATGGTATGTCTTGGGAAAGGGGACGGGGCCGGGGAATCTGAGGACAGGGACTGTAGAATACCCTCCGTGGTCTCTCGGGTGCGACGGTATGGGGAGGTGAAGAAATGAATGGTATCATCCGGTCGTAGAAGGGTGCGCAGACGGGAGCCAGCTTCCTGCGCCTGACGGTGTCCTTCGGGGGTGAGTTTCACGCGGTGGTCGGGGATAGTCTGATGGATTTCTCGGTTCTTGTTTCCTTCCGATTGGGCATGGCGGATCAAGATGATCATCTGTCAGAGTGAGACATTGTACCGAAGACAGTGACAGTTTCGGGGAGAGGAATAACTGACCCGCGGCTTGCCCATGATTACTTACTAGATATCTACTGTTGCATGCAGAAGTAGTTGGGTGGAAGTGGGGTTGAGGGGAAAAAGAAAGCGCTACGATGCTAGATCAGTAAGACAGGCCCACCGCGATAACGACCTTATGTATGTATGTAGGCTAGCGATCAGGTTACTGAAGCACAAAACACACAGGCCAGCAAGATGTAGTAACGGGATAGAGGAAGCGACCGCGAAAAGAAGAAGAGATGAAAGAGGGATGAGACGAGTCAGTGACTTGGGACTCGAAAGGAGGAGAGAAAAGAGGAGAGATGATTGCGGAGTAGGGGAGAATTGCCAAATCCAGCACTGCCATTGGCCCCAGGCATCTAGAAATCGCCCGATCAGGTTAGCACAGCGCATGATGTCAGTCGGTGCTGGTCGGGTTTGTTACCGTTTGGTATCACGTATTACCATCTCGATTACCGGCCTGTAATCAAAAGGGTACATCCTTCCATAGCATCTCTCACATAGTAATGGTTTAGGAATCCCCGTTCCTTACGGACCTTGATTAGCTTTATATAATTGAGTAAATTTGAGGTAGTCCTAAAATAAAATAATGTACCTTCTCATTTGTGACCTCAATACAGTATCTATCTAGCACCTAGCTAATCCAGAAAAAAAAAAAAAAGAGAGGGATGGCCCTTCGCCAGTTGTCGCCGAGGTCGCCGTACGGAGCAGTAGTACTGTTCGGCACAGCTAAATCTGGCCTTGTTTCGCCCTCCTGCTCATCATCGCCCGCTTCCACGCTCCCCTTTACCCTCCATTGCCGACCATCCCGGCTCTCAGCAACGAAGAAGCCGACTCTCACGATGGCCGATTATCTATATGATCTTCTAGCCCCTCATCTGGCCTCGACGAAGGCTGCCACCGCCCTCTCCGATCCGGATCGCGATACAACCACCGCTCAATACCTGAATCGTCTCCCTACGCTCTCTCTCCAAGCATTACAGTCCACGGAACCTCAATCCCTAACTCAGTCCTCTCATTCTACCCTTCTGTCGCTGCAAGCTCTGTCGAATCGCTCCCACAAGGCCTTTGTCACCTCCGCAGATGGCCTGTCCAATCTCCGCGCGTCCATCCCCCAGTTGGCCCGGAACGCACAGCAACTGCGAGATGCGGTCCCAAAACTCGATGAAGAGGCAGTCCGATTCTCGTCCAAATACAGCCGAGCAGCGGAGAATGTCGCTCTAGAGCAACGGAAGAAGGTGATGCAGCTGGCGCGGAACGTCGACCGGCTGTCCGATATCCTCGAGCTCCCCACGCTGCTCGCAACAGCTGTCTCTTCCGCGGCCGCTAATTCGGCAACGACGGGCAGCTCGGTCTCCACGACGTATTCTACGGCATTGGATCTGTACGCGCATATCAAGCGGTTACAAACACTCTATCCCGATTCGCCGCTCATCAAAGATGTAGTCTCCCAAGCCGAGGATGCTATGAAGGACATGACGTCGAATCTGATCGCAGGTCTTCGGGCACAGAACTTGCGACTAGCAGCTGCTATGAGGACGGTGGGTTGGCTGCGTAGGGTGGCACCGGAACTGGATAACCTCCACCACGAAGGATCACCGGCTGCGGCGGAGGGCGCATTGGGGGCTATTTTCCTGATCTGCAGGCTGGCGAATTTGATCACGATGCTAGAAGCTCTGGATCCTCTACGGGAGCTGGCCGATCAGGAGACACAGCGCAGGGCTCCAAACACAGACAAGAAGAATGGGGCGACGGGAACCTGGTCCGAAGGACACCAGACGGAGAAGTATCTGAAACGGTATATCGAGATCTTTCGCGAGCAGAGCTTTGCAATCGTCTCTCTCTACAAGAACATCTTCACTCCAGATCAATCGGAGTCAGAGCTCGCCGTGACCGGCTTACGGGGCATCGATGCGCGGCTCAAAGCTGCGGCATCGCGACCCTCTCACCCAGAGGATCCACTCCAGTGTCTTCCACCGGCACTTGCTACCTTCCCAATGCACCTAATACAATTGTTGACGGACACCTTGCGCACCTATCTCCCCAACGTCCGGGATAAAAGCTCCCGAGAGAGTCTCCTGACCCAGGTGTTGTACTGTGCTGCCAGCTTGGGTCGACTGGGTGGTGATTTTGGCATGATTCTGACCGAGCTCAGCGAGGCAGCGGATGAGGAGCAAGAGGACGACGATGCCGATGACGATGACTTGGCCTATGAATGGGAGGAAGTGACTCGGAAACACAGAGCCTTGGCAGGACGCCTAGAGCAGCTGACAGGAGGTGCAACTCCCGGGTCCTCGGCCAAAGGACATTCGTCGCGACAAGCCTTGCCCCTGCAAGGAGATATTTGAGTGGTAGATGCCCTAAAGAATCTTTCACCACTTCTCCCACAGGCTGTGCAAAGTGCTATTCTTGGAGACGGCATTTGCTTTGGCTCGTCCCTTTCAAAAGGGGAAGTTCGGGCCTCCCCGGGCGGCACTAACCGGATGGAGCAAGGCCTCCGCCCGGGTTGCTGGTCCGGCCGTCATCTCATCTCATCCTCCCTCCTCACCTCTCCTTCTCCCTCAAGACTTGCTTTCGGCAACATCCTTGGTCTACTTTTCCCCATTTTTCTCTGTATCTTTTCCTGGGGATATTCTTACAGAACTTTCCCTTATATATACATCCCTGGTTTCTTAGTGCTTCGACACAGCCGTTGCTTCATGATCGGTGCTGGCTTGCCGGTCGCATTGGCCCCTTCGATTGCCGCCGCCGCTGCTGCTGCTGTGTGACGTTCTCCCTTGCGTACAGGGCCTGCTGGCGTTTTAGACACCGCATTCTTCTCAGCAATGAAGATTTCTCTCTGAAAGCGTGCACTAAAGCTATCTGAAGAATAGCGGCCGTTCCTCTTCAATATATCCTCTCTCTAACCCTGATCCTGCACCTCGTCTGGATGGCGGCCCCCGCTTTGTCTACCGGCGGGTTGATCGACCCGACCAAACAGGCTGAGTATCCCATCGTGCTGGGTGATCGACTCAATGGTAAATCCAGCTCGCCACAGTCGCAGCTGGTCAATATCCAATATAACTATAAGACCAAGTCAGCGACCGCACGGCAACGCATCACCCGAGCCCGACAGTCCCGCGATCGCTACAACCTCACAATCACCGATAAAGCACCCAACGCCGATAATGTCCTGACCTATTCATACCAAGGCAGTGTTGACCCAACACAAGCTGTCTCGGATGCTGGGGAACATAATTTGGTGCTAGTCTTTGACGCGGCGCGGAAAGTGTTTGTCTTGGAGCCGGTTTCAACGCAGCTGAACTTCAACCTCCGGTCTGCTCCGGCCAAATCCCAGAAGCAGGTGCTAGAGCAATATGAGCAGCTACGCACTTTGCAGGAAGAGGACCATGGGTCGGGTGATGATCGGGGCATGGACAATGCCAGCGGTAATGATGATGGCCCTGCTGACGACAGCAATCCCTATGACTACCGGCACTTCCTCCCCAAGGAGAATGCGGACGATGACAAGTCGGGCTCGGACAAGACACCAGAACCCCCCTCCTACACCAGCAAGCTCGATACTCCGTTGATGTCCGCTACCAGGTCCATGCTTAGCCCTCAACCACCCCCGGAGAGCCGGACGAAGCCTGTGAACGCAAAGAAGAAGAAGCCAGACGGGGTCAAGCCTCCTAAACCGGCGGCTGCTCGGCCACGGCCCAGGTCTCCGCCACGTCCTGTGCAGCCAAGGGAGGAGCGGAAGGCAGAGGTCGAGGAGGAGCCTTTAGTGGAGACATTTAATTCCTCGCCGTCCGACACGGGCCTGGGTGCTGTCTCTTCTCAAAAGGCAGTTCCATCACCGGGCTCAAATATCATCATCGACGGCGATCTCATCATTGATATGGGCTCTCCGCCGCCTGCTCGTCCCTTCCGGGTCAATCCCGCATACTTCTCTTCGAACAACACCCCGGCGGATGAAGAAGGGCACCGGGATGAGGACGAGGACCAGGAGGAGGATGAGGATATTGAGGACCTACGGCTCCCCTCTCCGGCTGGCCACGGAGGAGCGCCGGTGGCCTCGAGCGGCCTAAACCTGGAGCCCGGGTTGGATGAGGAGGAGCTGGAGGTTGATGATGATCCTCTCGCGGCGGAGATGGAGGCGGCGTTTGAGGAGGATGTACAGGAAGACGACCGGAGTCAGCCAATTTCCACGCAAGCGGTGTCGCAGCAGTATCATATGGCCAGTGAGGATGAGAGCGAAGTCAGTGAGGAGGAATAAGGGGGTGGAAGGGTCTACCGTGTAGCATGTTTGCTAATATCTCTCGTATTTCTCTTTGGGGGCATGGTTCCCCCGTGTTTGCGTATATACCAGCAAAGCAAGGCGCCATTCGGAGTTTTAATCACGGGCAAGGTTCAGAATACCAGGGAACTTCGTCGTATAATATGATAACAGCAATAACAATGACAATAACATTAATAATAGCCATGATAATGATAATGATAATACGCCAAAAATATAGATGTGAATCTCTCCGAAAAGCGAAGCGACGATCCCTGGGGCCCGGAATAACGGGATGATCCGAAAAGCCGGCGGTCATTGGCTGGGCGGTCAGTCGCCAAAAAGTGCCACAGCAAAAGGAAAAGGAAAGTCCCAAGTGAGAAAGGAGTCTCTCTCTCTCTCTCTCTCTTCTTCTTGCTCTCTCTCTCTCCGTTGCACTCAGAACTAGCTGCCTCCCATCGCCCTCCTCTCCCTCTATTTCCGAATCTTCTGCCCGCCTCCGCCGGCTTTTCTGACAATTGTGACTTCCCAATCCTCCTTCTCACCTGGTCCGGACATCCTGTGGGTGCGATTGGCTTCCCGAATCACCGGCTTCCGATGCATGCGATGCAGTGGCCTCTCCCGCGATGATTAACACGCCTCGGTAATCTCAGGACTCTGGGTGATCGGAACTAAAGTAGGACAAACTACAGACTAGCAGGAGGCCGTTTCACTGCGCTGGTCCCAGCTGGCCCTTTGTGCGCGATCAGTTAGTCTGAGTGGATCCCTCTGTTGTCTCTTTCACTTCGGCCTCGGGTCGACGCGAGCTCCTAGGCCTTCCTCTGTTCTCACTGGCAGCTTTGCTTTCTTCCCAAGTTTGCTGGGGATAGTAGAGTCTCTCACACAGCTCGCTACCCAAGACTCAAACCTCCAAGTTCATCGCTTCCGCTTCCACCTGTCCCCGATGGCGTCTTCCGCAGCCCATCCTTCCGAACTCCCGCCGGTTCCTGCCCCGTCGAATCCCGTCCTCCTTGCAACCCAAGCGCATTGGATCTTCACCGATGAGGAGCTTACACGGACGCCATCGCAGCTAGATGGCATGGCTCTGGAGGCCGAGCATATGAGCCGCAGCAAAGGTGTCAATTTTATTAACCAGGTAGGAATCATGCTGAAGCTACCGCAACTTACGCTCGCAACGGCCGCCGTTTATTTGCACCGATTCTATATGCGACACAGTATGGTCGACTTACCTCAACGACCGGGCATTCACCCTTACACGACAGCCGCGGCGGCTCTGTTCCTGGCTACAAAGGTGGAGGAGAACGTACGACGGATGAAAGAGTTGGTGGTAGCATGCTGCCGGGTGGGACAGAAGCAGCCGAACATGGTGGTGGATGAACAGTCTAAGGAGTTTTGGCGCTGGCGCGATACCATTCTGGTACACGAAGATGTTCTACTGGAAGCGCTGTGCTTCGATCTGCAGCTCGAGCAACCGTATCGCATCCTCTATGACTTCATCTGCTTCTTCCGCATGCAAGACAACAAGCCGCTCCGTAACGTCGCATGGGCCTTCGTCAACGATTCCGGATACACGGTGCTGTGCCTGCAGTTTACCGCCCGCATCATTGCGGCCGCCGCACTGTACGCGGCGGCCCAGCACTGTGACATTGGTTTTGAAGACGATGTGCTGGGCCGGCCGTGGTGGGAACAGCTCGAGGTGGACTTGACCCAGGTGCGTCGCGCGTGTATGCGCATGGCAAAGCTGTATGAGAATAACGCCGCGCATCGAAACGGCCTGTACTACTTGACCAACCCCATCAGCACAGACGAGGGTACTGAGAAGACCAGGATCCCGCGCGTGGATGGCCCGGCGGACAACACGACACGCTCCATCGATTCCGGGCATGAGGCAGACGCTGTCAACGGTCGGAAGCGCTCGCGGGACCCCGACGATGAAACGAAGCCCCCACGCCCTTTGGCCGACTCGATACCCCTGTTAGAGGCAGGGCCAGCGACGCAGAACGGGGCCCCATCCCCAAAACGACCCCGGAGGGACTCAGTAGGAGCATCGGCTGACCGAGTCCCGTCATCTCGTATTCCAAAGGCGCCTCTCCCTAGCGGCGGGCCGGCCTTCTCCCACGACCGCCCTTCTGCGAACGGGCACCCCCCTCCAGCACATCATTCGCACCCAATCCCTGCGACCAGACATACGCATCCCTTACCACCGCCTCCCCGGCCTTACCCTCGACGGGACAGCGGCAGCCGGCCCGGGGGTGGGCCTCCAGGGCCACCTGTCGATCCGATTCAGCAACGGATTGACGAGATCGTGCAACAGAACATGCCCACCCAGGGCGGTGGGCCTGGCAGGGCGGAACGACGACCTCAGGAACGGCATCGGGGCGATTGGGAGGCTGAGGCCGACTCGGGGCGACGGCGACGACCGTCCATGTCCACAGGAGGCCAGCTACCGTCGCAGGAGGATACCCATCCACATCCACCACCTCAGCATCTCCCGCCGCCGCCACCTCCGGAAGAAGAATCCTGTCCGCCGTCGCAACCCGAGCCGCCTCAGGCCCCGGAACCGGAGGACGAGGGAGGTGGCAGCGAGGAGGGCGAGCTATGATGGTTTCACCTTTGAATGAGACGAACGAGCCCATTCATGAAAGATGGAGCCTGACACCTACATACATAACTTATTTCGGCCGGGGGCGTCTCGGCCGGGGGCGTCGGAAAATGCACCCGACACATTCCTCATTATCCTCCGATGAGGACTGGGAGGCTGAGCGCATCTGCAAGGGCACGAACACCTCCACAGAGTGAGAGACACATACAGAGACACAGAGAGACGAGGGGACGAAGATGAAATAAACTCTTGAGGGAGATAAGGAATGATAAGGGGGTAGGATTGAGCCCCAGGAAACACGCCAGATCTGTAGTTAATCTATATCTTCTACCGTTGAATTTAGAGCGATCATCGTGGACAGAAGCCCTTGATCACAATTTCCATCTCCGGAGGGCTACCCGGGCTGGCCTATGACAGGGGAGCAACCATGGTTGCGCAACAACCCCCTTGCAGCCGGACTTGCCGTCAAGGTCCCAATGGGATGGCTCCGACAACCCAAGGCGAGTCAAGCAACACTGCAGGTGGACTTTTGGCATTTGGCAAGAGACATACCGGCCGGATTCTTTGTCCGCCGTGGCTGGCTGAAGCCTAGCAGCACCCACTGGACTCTCATATGTGCTGTTGGGAATGCTTGACATCACGACCCGCCCTGCGTCTTGGGAATCAAAGTTCATGGAGAGAATGTCGGCTTGGCCACCCAGCCAACAAAACCCTCTTGCCATCATCTTCTTTCTTCGGGCGAACGAGAAACTTTCGAGCTGCCCGTCCGTCAGCGTCAGTTGAACTAGCCAATGGGCACCCCGTTATGGCCACATCGCTCCCCTGTCGAAGCCAAGATGCACCCGGCTCCCGCGACAACGGACCGGCGACGCAGCTGTCGCTTTTGCCGCAGTCGCAAGCTCCGCTGCTCTGGCGCCAGCGTCTGTAGCGCCTGCAAGGATCGCCAGATCGAATGTGTCTATGACCAGGGCGGCCCCAAAGGCCGTCCCTGGGTCTCCGGGGCGCGCACCACCGGCCGCCTGGTAGCTGGCCAGCCGGGGCCCGAGCCCGCCACAAAACAGGCTCCCTGGACATCCCCTTCGAGTCCGTCGTCCGCCACGGCCGGCCAGCTCCTCTCGCCGCGTCTCAAGAGCGTTGCCGATGCTCTATCTGAGGTGACGGCCGAGATGCAGGAGAAGCTACAAGGTCAGAGGGTCGACGGGATTCCATGGAGCCAGGCTGGTTCTCCTCGCCAGCAGCCGGCTAAGCTGGGCTGTCGCGAGCTCATCATGGTGCTGACCCAGGATATTATCGACGCTACAGTGGCCCGTTTCAGCGGGCTCGACTGCCTTGCATTCTTCGCTAACCAGAGCCAATTCTTCCGAGCCAACCTGGCGTCCAGCACTCCCCCCGAACCGTCCCCTGCGCTCGAGCCGGCGCCGCTGGCCGCATACAACGGATACCGCATCACCCAGATTCTAGATGTGTGGTTTGGCGCACATCCGTTGTCCATGGCCCTTTCCAAGACGCTGCTGCTGCGTGATATCCGCAGCAACTCTTACGATCCCCTACTCCTGGCCGTCGTGCTAGGGGGCGGTCTGCAGGAGTTGGAGGATACAGACGCTCAGGTGGAATCCGAGCAACTTCTGCACTGGGCGTCGTCTCGCCTACAATATATTTCGACGGCGGCAGCCGACTTGTCGACCGCGCAGGCTCTCAGCTTGCTGGCCTGGCACGAGACATGTCAGGGAAACATTATCCGAGCAATGTCCTACAGCATATACGCGAACCGTACCGTAACACGGCTCACAATGGACACCTTGGCCCGGTCCTCACGCGATGCCCGACAGATCAACGGCGTCGACCTAGTTCAGATCGAGTTGGAGATGATGCACATCCTGGGGTGGATGACTCTCGCGTTGATGGTCTGGTATTTTACACATTTGGGGATTGTAGATGACAGTCTGCCAGCGCTCGCGATGATGTATGAGCATCCGCCCATGAACAAGGACGCGTCCTTGGTGTTACGACTCGACAAGGCGGCCGACAACTTGTCCACGCTTCCTCACCAGTGGGCCTGGATCCAGGAAATCTGGACCATCAGTCACATCACCTCCGCGGCTGTTCACCTCAACTCAATCTACCCGCGTCAGGCTAGCGGGCCTACGTCACCCATAGCTCATCCCCACCACTCCTGGCAAAGTCAGCTACACGAGCAATTGCGCAACATCCAGCTCTACAAGGTCGACATTGGCAATTTGTGTAACGAGGCCCGCGCTGTCCTGGCGCGCAACGTGCAGATCATTGAAGCCAATATGGAAGACCAGGTCGCCCAGACATGGATCCTCACCGCGTACCGCACTTTGCTCATCCACCTGCTGTTCCCCCGCATGGAAACCATTCCGGTCACAGCCGATCTTGTCCAGAACCTCGCCGACTGTCTCGCCTTTTTTGCGCGCAGCTTTCCCGTCCTCGTCCACGTTTCCACCACTCAGGCGCTCCCTCGGTCGAGCATTCAGTCGTGCGTTCGCTCCTACATGGCCGGTCTGGCCGCCTGCGGCAGCGCCATCGACGCGCTCTTCCTGATATCACCCAAACAACTCCAAAGCTGGGAACCGGAAATCCTGCAGGGCTTAGCCCGGCTACTTGAGCAAGCGACAAAGCTAGGCACACTCTTCACAGACGACACGCTATTGACAGACTGGCGGTGGCGAAATGTACAAGACCGATTCCATCGGTTATCCAAGTACAAAACGGAGCTGCAAAGCGTACCAACTGGATGGGACGGCCTTCCCATGCCTATCAGGCCGGCGGAGCGACAACTGCCATCCTCCTCCCTGCCCACAGTGACCGCGGCGGTGGCGGCAGAGCCGACAGAGCCGGCACCCACACCCATAGTGCCTCTATACACGGCTACTACTGAATTACCGTATGTGCCGGGATACAGCATGCCAGTTGCATCTTCGACGTATGAAGAAACATAGCATTAGACAGTTATCCTTTTGGTTTATGTTACATATGGCGTTACGGATGGGACGAAATGAAACTGGGTAGGACGGAACCAATCGCACAGGGATTGGTTGGTTCCTTGTGGATACATCATAATCATCATCTTTATTAGGATAGATTATTCTAAATCGAAATGCATATTCTCAATTACATCTATATCGCTTCCTCTTAACACACTTCATCTAAACTAGTCTTCCTACCTTCCCAACACCACCAACCTTTTAGTTCTCCCTTCATTTAAGACATCCGTGACTATTATAGTTAAAACTAAGCAATACCAGTAGAGCAAGGTGAAATCTAGGTCACTTCTTCCTCAGATTTACATGAACCAAGAATTACGTTACCTTATCTGTTCATCCATTCTAGATTCAATGACCATGAAGAAATACTACTAAACTAAACACTTACAATGAGTTCCAATTTGGGTTGGGAACAAAAAAAAAAAAAAAAAAAGGTATGTAAAGTTTTAAGTTAAACTCAAGTTAAGTAGGTTGAAATCTACTAATCTCATATACATACATACCCCCTTCTTGCCTGGCGGACGTAATGAATGTTCAATATTTAAAATGAAGTTTACTTCATTTTTAATATTGCTTTGTATTCCATGCTTCTATGTCATTTATAGTGCCCATGTATTGTATATATATTCACTCAACCTTTCTATAACATTATACTATCACCAATCTATTAAAAATCAAGGTTCTTCATTCACACCTCCACATCCCCCAACAACCACCCCCCTTCCCTACTTCCCAAACCCCCCACCAAATGCGCCTCTCCCAACACCCCCTTCACGACCAGCACCATCTCATCCACCGTGATCAAAAACCCGAAGTATGCACTCGCAGCCACACAGAAACGTCTATACCCTTCATCGCGCATCATGTCCCCTGAAATAACCTGCTCTTCCTGACCACGTCGACCTCTCGACCAATTATCCACTGCCTGCTTGAACAACGGCGTCGGAAGGATCTCCGGTAACGCGTCGCCCGTTTTCAGGGCCTGTTCGCAGAGACCCATCACCGCCATGACTTGGCCGATGAGGCGGTGGTCCAGGAGCCCCGTCTGACGGGCTAGTTGCTCTTGGAATTCCTGGGGTAGGGATGAAGAGAGGAGTAGGAGGCGGCTGAGCTGGCGGTTGAGGCTACGGCAGAGGGAGTTTACTTTAGCTAGGGATGCGCTGTCGAAGCGCGAGCTGGAGAATTCGAAACCGAGGAGTTTGATGGGTCCATCAAGTGCGACGAGCGTTTCGGCGAGTTGCAGGGAGAGAGGTTCGGCGAGCCTCCTACCTTCGGTGGAGTTTTGGGCCCAGACGGTGAGGAGGAGGGCGTAGTGCGTGGATAGGGTGCGCATGGCGCGGGAGAGGGTTTTACAAACGTGTCGGGAGGCCGATGGTGGCCGGGGGAGGGTTTGCAGGATGGCGGATGCGGCGACGCCGACGAGGACGAGGAGTAGACGTCGCCAGAAGACGTTATAGCCTACTCCTGGGTTGCCGTATTGGGGGATGTGGCTGGAAAGTTATTAGTGGGTGGTTTGATAGGGTTGAGGGAAACTTACGTATCGTCGTAGCTATACGCGATGACTAGCAGAAATGTGGCTCCACCGATGATACCTCCCTGCATCAGGGCCGGCGGCAGATATAGTCTGATCCAGACAAGAATGACTAGGATTGCGGCGGTGATAGCAGACAGCCCATACGGATTGCCCGGACCATTTGCGGAGCCAATATACCAAGCCAGCAGCCCCAAAACTCCGCCGATGACGGTTCCAATGACTCTTGCGATCAAGGAAAAGGTAAAATCCGCCATGTACACGAGCAGACCCGTCTGCCCCATGATCAGCGCCCAAAGTCCCTTCGCACGGTAGTAGAAACCCGCACTGTGAGGGATCACGCCCGGAATGCCCAGGGCGATTGTGACGACAACCATACGTATGGCATACAGGCCTTCATCGCAGGTAAACCAGTGGTAGGTTCCCAGGATGGCTCGACTGAAAGGAGGGCGTGGCTTCGTGCGGAATCCGCGGGTTACACGCAGCTTCTCTTGTGCTGCTTTGGTAATGTCGTCGGCGCTGACGCGATCCGGATCGTCTTCGGTACCCTCGGACCCTGGTGCCTTGACTTCATTCGAGGAGGCCCATGATGCGGCGTATCTGAACCGGGTTGGCAGGTAAACGCGGATCTTAGTTGATTCTTGGAAGACCGTAGATACCCGCGCGAGCAGTGCCTCGGTCTTCTGCACGGTGTTGGAAATGTGTTCCTCGAAGACTAAAACGAACATGAGTGGCCGGAAGTGATGGGCTTCGTCAACCGGCTGTTTTTCGTGTTGTCCGATCAGGATGTCGCTCATTTCATTGATAAAGACCGAACGGGCCTTGCTTAATGCCTCAAGTGCCTTCTCACAGCGTTGCTGTAGCTGCTCACGTTCAGCTTGGGATGGCCTTTTGAACCAGCGCCGACAATTCACCAGGTGTATACACTCTTGCACGACGCTCAGCCCCTCTGCACAAGCATCTATGGCGGTCGCGCTTGTCTTGACTAGCTCTTGGACGACCTCCTTGCGCAGCGGATGACTATCCGGGCTGCGAAATCCATCCAGCAGTTGTGCAAGCTGTGTGAGCTGATGCGCGCCAACCTCGCGCGTATGTTTCTCATCCTCGTCCGGGGTCTTATCAACATACTTACGCAGCACATCCTGCGTGCGAGCCTCCCCCACGATCCGGCCAATGTGAAAGTCGAGAAGGGATAAAACTGCAACTAGTACGTCTCGCAAAGGGCCCTGGAAGGAGGCGACATCTTCGGCTCCCCAACAGCCTACAGAAAAGTCCAGAGGCAGAAACGCCAAGGATGGTTCCATGCTTTTATATTTCTGGATGATCCCAGCCTGTGTCATGCGCAGATCGTCAGGATTCGGTTGTTCTTCCTTCTTGCAGAGTGTATTTGCTGTCATTGCTAGTGGAACTTGGAGGAGTCGGACGATATCCTCCATACTATCCAAAACCACATGCGATGTCGATTGAGGAAAGAAAAGGATTGAGCATGCTAGGCCGAGCCCGACCCCAATTGCGGCAGGTTTGACGAGAGTTAGGGGCAGGGTTCCTGAGAAAGAGGGCAGAAGCGGAGTGTAGTTCAGGAATAGATCCGAGATGATAATGCCAAATATAGCCGTCAAAGTTGCTTTGGGATTGCTGGCCCGAAGACGCGCCTGTATATTCAGTATAGCCCATTGCCCTTAATCGGAGAATTACCTACCATGAAATAAACAAAAGTGCAGATGAGGCAAAAGGTCACGGCAGTGACGCGCGCATCCAGCATGTACCCTTCGTAAACCAATCGCTGCGCTATTTCAGTAGCGGAGGAGGTCGAGTTCTGGGCCTGTGACACAGCCGTCTGCTGCAGGGCGGCCACTTTAGCCTGCGTTTCGGCCGCTGGTCTAGCTGCCTGAGCAGCCTTCATGGTGATGACGCCCCATGCCCAAGCCAGACAGATACCGATGAACAAGGACAGCGCACCCAAAAGATAGACGAATACAATTCCGGATGGAGGTAGAAACATTAATACGAGACTAAATCATATTCAGCATAACAATGCGACCCATGCCTTGGGGCAGATGCATACGCTGCGAAAAAGGTTGCAGTGCCGATGCTTTCCAGCGAGGGATGGATGAAGATCAACAAACAAGCCACCCAGACGGCGACCCAGCATCGAAAGAAGATCTTGAGATCGCGACCATTGAAATGGTCCAGAAACGGGGGTAACCGGCGTTTCTTCTCAGCAATGACGGGAGGAGCACTGTCCGAATCCGACCATGTCGGGGGGGATTCCTGCGTGGTTCGTTCGTCGGCCATGATGGCCTCGGGCTGTTTTGCTTGGCTTTAAATGGCCCACGTGGGCATGAGGACTGGTGGAAGAAAAGAAAGGAGATTTAAAAAAAAGAGAGTCGAGAAAGGGAAAGCAAAGAAGCAAGGGATGGATGCAATGCAAATAAGAAACGAGCGACGGAGACGGAATGGATGCACGAGAGAAGAGGTTGACAGGCCCGGCGTCGATCAAGAGGGGAACCGGTTGGCATTTGAAGGCCCTGCGGGCAAATATGTGGCGCCGCAAAAGGAGTGGCTATTATCGCGATTAGAGTTAAATAGATCGGTTGATCTGAACCAGGGCCGTTGGTCGTTCCATGGATGGTCCGGGGGGTCCGGAAGGTGTTTGCCTGAAGGATTGCCGAAGATAAGCTGGAAAAGGAGGTTATGCAGGACTCATGCTGATGCTGATGCTGATGCCATTCGCGTCCTGTTCCTCCTTGTCATTACTGCAAATTCTCTGCTCGACAGCATAACAAGGATGGTGGACTTTGCCGAGCGAGTGATCGACAGAGGGTTGATTCATAGTGACGCCCATGGATTGACACTGATTCAGCGGTGGAGCCGAAACTGGACATGACCCGAATCCGAGGCGAGTCTGGAACTGCAGGAGACTGTCTGACAAGTATAGATAGGTCGCTGTGTGGTATGATGGTCGAAACTGCTATCTACCCCAGTTCTCCACTCTTAAGGGTCCATACTATTGTCCCTGTTGCACGTGTCTTAGAGTCTGAAGAATAGCAATTAGTGTCTGGATATGTGCTAACCTCCCCTGAATGCCCTTGGTGAACATGACATACCAGACTTAGGTGAAGAGAAAAACCTTGGAGCTTGATACCAGGATGGGTGCAATGGGTAGGGACGATGAGAAGTTCTTGTGTGCTACAGTGACATACTAAATGGGGTCTGTTTGCGCTGTATGTCTGCTCTGTCTACTGGCGTGATGCCCGACCGTCACTTCTCAACCCTCAGAACTACAGCTGCGCATTTTCAGGAAAACAAGCACTAAAAGCCGAAATTCATATTAGAATTGCTGGAAAACGCTCATCTTAAGCATCGCACAATCGCATCGAAAAATATGCACAATGCTTGACCACCAGTCAGGTTCTATTTGTATGTTCTCCGCCAACCAGGTACACCCCGTTCAAACCATCATACCATTATCCAGCAAGCTGCTCGACGCCACGAAGCTGAATCCGCCAAAAAGCTCGCCCTCACCGGGGTGACTGGCTGGCGGACCGGACGCCCGGGCTGCATAGTGGTCGTCGAACGCGTGCACGATTGGACTCAGCGGAAGCTGCGTGAAATCCATCGAGAAGTTCTCCGCCAGGGCTGGGTCCGTCACCACCGGATTGATCGGAGGCGCCACCTCCCTGCGCTCCAGCGCCTTCCAGTCGATCTTTCGGAAGAAGCGGTGGTTCTTGATTGTCTGCAAGTCCTTGGGCATGTGATATCCCAGTCGCTTCGACGGTTCCTTGCGCAGCAACCGAGTCAACAGGTCCTTGGCATCGGGGCCCAGGAAATAAGGCAGAGCCAACTTCTGTTTGACAATCTTCTCCTGCAGCTTGGCGTTGTTGTTGGCCTTGAATGGAGGGGATCCGGTGAGCAGGTCGTAGCCCAGTGCGCCCAGTGACCACCAGTCACAGGCTTTGCCGTACGACTTGCCCTGCACGACCTCCGGAGCCATGTACTCGATCGTGCCCAGCGAGGAGTTGCAGCGATCGTCATCGTTGATGGCAATCTTACTGAGTCCAAAGTCCGTCAACAGCAGATGGCCCTCGCTGTCCAGCAGGCAATTCTCCGGCTTGAGGTCGCGGTAGATGACCCCAACGTTTTGGTGGAGATGTTCGAGCGCCAGCACCATCTCCGCCATGTAGAAGGCGGCGGCATCCTCGTCAAACATACGTTCCATAGCCAGGTGCGTAAACAGCTCACCGCCCTCCGCGTACTCCAGGATCAGATACAGTTTCTCGTGATCCTGGAACGCATAGAACAGTTTGACCACAAAGGGGTGGCGGTTGACACTCTCCAGGATCGTGCGCTCAGTTTTAGTCTGTTCCACGAGCTTCTTGTGAACGGTGATCGATGCCTTGCGAAACTGCTTCTGCGCGTACAGCTTGCCCGTTAGCACATGGCGCACCAGCAATACAGTGCCAAATGACCCCTTCCCCAGGCAAAGGAGGGGCTCAAAGTCATCGGTGGTCATCTTTCGGCACAGCTGGGTACGCATATCCCGCACGCTTGATGTATTTCGCGAGTCTTCCTCGGCGGCCGCATCGGCGCTGACATAGTCGTGCTCCAGAGGCACCTCATAGCTAGTCAGGACCTCCGTCTGATCACTATCTGAGCACACACTAGCGTTACTCGGGGTTTCAGCGGGGCCGGTTTGGGCTCCATTGCCGGACAGGCTCATAGATTCAAGCTGGAGTTTCAAAGCGCTCACCCCACAGCCAGCCGCGGGCTGGACCAACGGACTGCCCCCATTAGTCCCGGCACGAGTGCGCGGGTGAGAGCTCGGTGCACGAGAGCTGGCAGCCGATCGGTCCGAGTCTTCATCGGCGGAGCCGCGAGGAGTAAACCCGCGCACGGTTGAAAGGGCCGGGGCAACTTCATGAACCGCGTGCTTTTTCTTCTTCTTACGGCGGTCAGCCTTGGCGGCGAGAGGGCGTGCATTCAGCTCTGGAGCCGGGAAGGGATTGCCACCATGAACACCAGGCCCCTTGATCATGGGTCCTTGCTTGCGCTGGGGGCTGCGGGCGCTCATACGAAAGCCGGTTTCCGGAGCGTCGCTCATAGTGATATCCTTATGTGAATGCGACATGTCGGCTTGCGGACTGAATACATCGCTGACCGAGATGTCATCGTGACCAGTAGTATTCGCCGAGGGATCCATTGTGTCGTGGATTTCTTTTCGGATATCTTTCTATTCCCGTAATTGACCAAGCACGATCCAGCAGCCGTCCGACCAGAACGGCAACAGCACGATGCGTAAGCCAAGGGCGATCAAATGCACCCAGGCATCGACGAATCGAGGCACTCCTCTAGTTGAGGTCTAGTCAAAGTAACCTAATAACACAAACAGAGAGGTCAGCTTTCTTGTTTTTCTTTCCACGCCCCCACACGCATATCCACACACACGCACAAGCGCGGGGTATGCACGGAAAACCCTAATTTTCCATATGCAAGGGGGAATCAAGGATCGATCGGAGCAGCGTACACTTGGTAGCACACAATCCGAGAGGGCTAAGCGACCCAGCAGGGAAGTTACGCGGCAGCCTGCAAGATCTCTCGGATATAGCACCTATTTACCGTCCGCCCTTGTTCAGGACGGACCATGGACCCTAAGCCAGAACACCTTGTCGTCAGAGACGGAGTGAGCGGACGACACGGCCGAGAAGCCAGTCGAAGAGGAAATATCGAGAGACACCGAGGAGGACGAATTCAAGTCGAGGGTCAGCAAACGAGAGCGGGGGAAGCGGATAAAAGCGGACGACGAAATCGAGGGCAGCGCAGACAAGCACATAGAGGAATGGCTAATATGAGGATAGTTAAGATACCAGGGGATGGAAATAAGTCTCCAGGGAGCAGGCACAAGAGGCACAGCGAGGGTTTAAAACCGGGTGAAGATCCCTTTTATAAAGAGAGGGAGAAGGAGGAGGAGAAGAAAGTGAGAGCTGACTTGGATTTGCTTGGACAAACGGGAAAAGAAAGCTGCCCGGCCTCGGCGCTGAGTGTATTTTTCCCGGCCCGCAGACCAATCAGCGTGTGCCGGTGCTAAGCGACGCTAGACTCAATGGGGCAGGATGACTTCACGTGTTGCGGTCATTGGAGGATGGCACCTGATTGCCAAATCGGGCAATCCGGGGAAGCTGCCTGAGGAACCAGAGCCACTGATACTGTGTACGATGGACTACTTGAGGGGTTATACTACAGTATGTGTATCTAGATGGAGGAGAGAAGGAGGAAGGCGTTATCACAGGATCTTGTTATAGAGTTACTTACTCACTGTAGCTTATGCAGGGGTAGTAGATCTACCCGACGGGCTATTAACTCCACCCGCTGAACCAACTATTTAGTAATTATTTTGTACTAGAGGTTCAGATCCATCCAAAACCCCCTGCAGCCCTTCATGCATCTCTCCCTTCAAAAAAGGCCTGCGACCGAGTGATTTCCACCCCCGATCCCTCCACGAAGGCCAGCGCACTGGGCTTTTGTACCCGCACCGTCACCCGTTCATTCCCAAATTCCACCGTGACAATGCGCGCGACAAACGTCGCCAAGGCCTCCACCGTCTGGAAAGAGGTGGTTTCGACCCGCTAGTAATTTGTAGACTGGATTAGCCTAACACCCAGGGAAGAAAAGCACAGACACATCGAAGAAGAACTCACCTCAGCGACAGCCCGGGTCATGGCTTGGTACGTATTGACCACCGTAGACCCCCAAGGCAGCTGTCCGGGTCCCTTAAACTCCAGAGAGACAATGACCGCCTGTTTCTCCACCCTCTCGTGAGAGTTGACGCCCAAGATACAGTAGCACCGGATTCCATCAATGCGGAACTCCTCCTCCAGGACGACCGGACAGCGCTCCGACTCTCCTACATCGTCCGTAACAGCCTCATTGGCCTGACGGTACCCCCATACCGTCACACTCCGGTACTTGAGTCCTTCGTCCGCACGCAGCAACGCCTTGGGAAGATGCAAAGACACCTCACATTGGCCAAACACCCCATCAATAGGCGAAGTCGAAGATGAACTGAAAATAGCCGCCAGAGCCTGAGACTGCGAGCCCGCTGAAGCGCTGCTTCTCCGCTGGGTGTTGTGCACGTGCGACATCCTACGGACCCCAGCAGCAGTCTCATCCAACAGTCCAAGTCCACAGTGAGCCACAATTCCGGCCGTCAAGCGCACATCCTGTCCCACATCACTTGCCAACATCTCGTCACGGCGGCTCCCGTCGACACTGATCATTCGGTGTCCCGGGTTCTCGGGGTGCTTGCCCAGGTTACGGATATCCTCCTCGAGACGGCGATAGAGCTTGCCGTAGTCCAAGGAGAGGGAGACATCGTCGGCAATGGCGGCGGCCACGGCGGAGGAGTAGGAGAGCTTCAGCGATGCCGTGCAAGGCTGCGATTTACCGGAACGGTGCCATGGGTCCGGGGCAGCTGGGAGGGGCAGTTGGATGTTGCGGAGACGCACGCTGTCCAACACCGGGGGGTGGGATGGGATATGGACATTTACGCGTTGATCGGCCATGATGACTGTAGGATGGGCGACGGAGATATGAGAGGAGAGAGCTGGATCTAGTCAGTTCCTGGGGTACGAGCTCGAAGCTGCAGCTGCTGGAGTACCAGACAATCAATGGGCTGTTGTGACGTCAACCAGTAAGCGTGGAAGCCCCAGTCGAACTCTTGGTAGAGATAACACCAACCAGATAAAGAAAGCTACCACTGCAGTCGCATGGATCAATTGGCCTTCCTGACTTTGAGATTCCGTCCCACCGAGGCAAAATTCTCAGACAAAGAGCTGCGCTGGAAGGAAATTTCGTGTGAGCTGCGGATGACGAGACGATGGCGGGGTTGGGTTTAGCGCGGGGAGCTGCTTTCATTTTCTCGGGACCCACGCCAGTCACTTATTAGAATAATAAACTAGTAACTATGTACCCTACTTCCACGACCAACAAGCGTGGAAATACTATATTTTGATTTGATTGTTGCACTATACACAATATCCCGGGGTCGTGAAATGATCGACATCGTGGGTGATTACGTTAGATAAAAAAAAAAGAAAGGCCAAGATCCATCCACATCCGCAGGTCCATCCGTACATTATGTGCAGGAAAGTCGTCCACACCGGCAAAGAAACCACCGACACGGCTGTCCACATACGCCTACTTTTGAAACCTCGAAAAACCTTCCAGTCGGAGCCCGGAACCAGCGGGGCTAGAGATCATGGTCACATCAAGTGATGAAAGCAAGCGCCAGTGTCGTTCCGTTGTCCATGTCAACCTGACACACGCATTCGTATCTGAGGCCGTGTTCAATCCAGAAGCTGACTCCGATTGGGAATTGTCAACTCATCCGGAACGGCAATGAGGGAAACCAGTTCAACAAGAGAACAAAGGGGGAAAGCATGCACAATGGGTATCCGCCATGCGCTGAGGTAACACAAACAACGAGCTAATTACAGACGACTACCAGTATCCGCGGCGGTCGTAAGGCATGTATTCGCCCCGAGGCGGACTACGAGGCCGTCCATAAGGGCGAGGGGGGGCGTACGGGTCATCATAATGGCGAGGTGGTGGGGGTGGGCGGACATCGTAGGGGTCATCGTAGGGACGACGCGGGGGAGGGTAGTCTTCCATCCGAGGGCGAGGAGGAGTGCGGCGTCCGTATCCATCCCGGTCATAATAGTCCCTCCGGATTGGGATGGGAGAGCGTTCCCGATAGTGAGCCCGGGGGCTGTAGCCACGCGGCGCAGGGAACCGCCGGTCATACTCATCCATGGGCGGGTAACTCCGACGAGGGGACCGAGATCGGTACGGGTCACGAATGGCACGTTCATCCGGGTAAGTTTGAATCTAGGAAGGGTATGAGGTTTCTCGTTCCACTCAGATCATAGGTACCAGTAAAGTTGCTTACATCGGCAATGCAAGTTACGCGGGAGCCTTTGAATTCACGTCCGTCCAGCTTCTCAATGGCCGTCTTCAGGTCGTTGGCGGTCTCGAATTCCACGAATCTTGGGAGCATGTGTCAATGGGGTCCTGTCCGACCGGATAGGAAGTTGAAGGATTAACCCACCCTCTGCCGAGTTCACGGCCAGTTTCAGAGTAAACCACGTCCAAGCCAGACTGACGCGCAAAGTCTTTAAGATCCTAGATAACCCCAGGATGTGAGTCCATATCCAGGTGCAAGAGTGGTACAGTGGTATCCGATGTGTCCGGGTGCCAGCAATTAGAAAAATACAATATGGAAAAACAGGCCAGGAAGGGACCCAAGCGATACAGGGTAGTAGGCGAAGGGATCCTTCGATGACTGCGAGGGCGTTCCATCCTGGACAGGGTTGTCCGGCCTCGGCTCTCAGCTCTCAGAGCTGGGGTTCGACCATTGGAGGCAGCCATCCAGCCTTCCTTTCAGTTAGGTGGGGTCCGAAAGTTGGTTGGTGAACGACCCATACATCATGAGGAGCTGATCATCGTCGCCAGGATTCCCTTGGGCCGTAGGTGGAGGAACATAGAATGGAGTACAGGGAAAGGATAATTAGGGAACGCAAATCGGCCGAGATGCAAGGCGTCCGGTGGATCCAGAAGAAAGGGGACTTGGGCTGCTAACCTGCCAACTTGTTTCCGGGAGTCCAGAAACCATCATGCGAAAGATCGTGCGACGCGGACGAGGCATGTTTGGACGGTCCATTGGGCCAGGGAAGTTCTCCTTGCGGCGCGGTCCACGGGCAAATTGCACGGTGAGGCGCTCGCCTTTGAAGTCACTGCCGTCTGCATGGAGAGTTAAGTCAACCATGAAGATCTTTGAATATGGTGCTTGCGTTGGTACATACGGAAGGCTAGATAACCGTCCTAGATTAGCATGGTCACGCGACAGCTAGGGAGCAAAACAGGTTGACTTACCGGGTACAACATCTCTAGCATCCATCGCATCCTCGTATTCGATGAAACCGAAGCCATTCATGAGCTTAATCTCTGTGATCTTTCCGGAACCATGGGTGCTGAAATGTTCCTCGATATCTTGTTTAGTCACTGTAAAAGAAACCCCACTAATGGCGCCCACCCGGGGCGCCGTGAGTACAATGTCAGCCTACTGCGAATGGTTTTGGAAGAACAAATAACCGAGACAACTGGATTTGATTTCGAAGCTGCCAACCCAGTATCCGGAAAACTGAGTTTACCGTGACACAAGCAAGGAAGATTGAAACAAAAGGAAGGAAAATCCGCCATCAATCTCCGGAGGGGTGAAAACCTCGGTGACTCAGGGAGGTCAATCCAGACGCATGGCGATCCAGCGGAATATCCCGAATTCTGTGTCGAAGATAGAGGTGGACAAGAAGGGCAACATCCAGAGCGGGTTGAGGAGAAAACAAGGAGACCTAAGGAGAGTTTGTAGATGGCTTCATACCATTGCGGGGGAGATTCCCGAGATAGAGTCGGGTGGACGAGACCTCAGTCATGGCGGGTAGTAGTAGATGGCGAGAGAGATTGGACTAGCACAGCGCGCGCACAATGGTCGAGATGAAATCCGTCCAGGCGGATCAACAAGCAAATCGCAGTCGCAACGTTTCTGGCCTTGCGGGAACGTGGTTCAAACAAGAAAATTCCGATTCAATGATGGTACAGGCGACCGTAGGGAAACAGATCCTTGAGGGGTCAAATGGGTCGTTATCCTGGGCAATGTAGAGCTGGAAGTTGCGATGGCGGCAGTATTCAGCAAAGTAATAATTCCTGGGTGTTTATCCGGGGAATGCGAGGACCATAGAACGGTTCCAGAAGGTAACGGTGGGCCTGACTGATTAGGGAAGCAAGGAGAGGATAGTTTGGTACGCTGAGGGGACAGCTGAACCAGAGATGAAGTAGCTCTCAGGTAAGAGCTGGCTTTCACGCGCGCGCACACACACACAATCGGGACTGGAAGAGGGTTAGATGGTGACGGAGATCCGGTCGAGCGGGAGAAGAAGAGCGGCAGCACGGGGAATCCAGGGAAGCGCTGGGCAAAGAGAGCGAGACAGGCAGGATCAGAAGAAGATGAGGGAGAAAGGAGAGTTTTGAGGGCGAATGAACCGGGTCACAGCAGGGAAAAGAGGAGAAGCGCGAACTGATTGGGAGAGGCTGACCGCCCTGCCAAACCAGAAATCCGGGTGGAAATGGAAATTCAACTTGATGCTGGCGGTGGGAAGGCACCCAATCAGAGGCCGTAGTCTGGAATCGCCTCACTTTGTTTCCCTCGGCGGGATCCACGTGGCCCCGCCTGACCTTTTTCTGTAGTACTTTGTCCACTATGTCACTCTCTACTAGCTACAGAGGCAGTGCTGTTGCCCATATTTATGAGTTATTCATGTAGAATCTATTATGCTGAGCAGCCGATCTACATTTATCTTACTCAACACTTCTGAACCAGCACCACTACTCCGGTACAGCCCTGCTGCATCCCTCTATAATTATCTCGGCTTCAGCCCACTCGGGTGGCCCGGTCAAGCTTCCTACTAAAGTAGCTGAATGCTTTAGTCGTTTCGGCATTCTACATACTAAGTAGGTAGGATACGTACAGCACCAATAGTATATTAGGCAATGGTAGCAGGATGTACAATGACATCCCTATGTATATCATATCAATACTTGAAGCCTTCCTATCCAAGTTATCTACTTTTTAGTTTATTGTTCAACATTTACCCCATACTAATTAATATATTGATGTAGCAAAATGGAACCTCCACTAATCTGCACTGGGTCTAGTCCCTGCCAAGCAATTAACAAGGCTGTCAATTGCTGCAGGGATGGTAGTCGCAGCTGAGCTTCAGCTCCAATGAATATGACTGATCTCATCATCAGGCAAAGTGATGCCTATTTGCCACAGGGTGGCTGGACAAAATTAAACATTGTAATCTTATATATTTGCGTTGATGTAATAGGATCTACCTGCGATAAGAGTCAGCCTTTCAATCACACAACAGAAGAAATTGCGTTCATAGCATTGTTTACTATGCTAGTTAGGACGATGACGTTCTGGCTTTTGATGGGCGTGGGCATACTTTGTAACTTTGCACATCCTCTATGCACTAAGTAGGCAGTCCTTGAGATACATTACCTACAATGAATATACTTGACTATAGCTAACACTACCACTAAATACATGGATGAGATAATATCTTACCTTGATGTACGTGTCTCTGAAAAACACCAGATCCCTTCATATTGTATTGGATTGCGCACTAGTTCACCCAGTGCGTTTAAAATGGTATGGTAGAAATTTGGCCTGCTATGAAGCGGCGAATATTGGTTGTATGATAATACTGCTGAGTTATCTGAACACTTTGCCACTGAACCGCCTAGTATGAAATGTCCTCATAATTTACTAACCTTGACCGGTCAATCTTCCGTATAGAGTAACAATGTGACCATCCATTGTATACTAGTCGCTGAACTGCAGGTCAAACGATCGTAAAATGCTGTTCAAATATACGTGTTTGACCGAAGCCTACAGGACGTATGCCGCAGTCCGGCGTACAACAGTTTAGAGACAACACATCACCGCAATATATTCGGCATATGAACAGATTATACTTTTGCGTGTAGCAATCAAATGCTGGGGTGTATTAAGGGGTCATGCTAAGTAGCAGACTTAAAGCGCATCGCAGCACCACGTCAAAAGGACTATAAAGAATAAAAAGACACGCGGCGATCCAAAATAAAGCAGAAGAAACGGAAGAGGAAAAGAATGTATAGACCAATGGTGTGCTTGACTTCCAACATGTCTTCGGAGGCATGTACTTTTGTTTCTCCTTCTGATGCCTGCCCTTCTGTGAGCTATTTTCAACTGCCGCAGTCGTTGACAGTTGGAAGAGATCACGCAATATGTTATGCCTGCTTATACCCTGGTATCCCAACAATTTTGAGATACACAGCATAGGCAGGTATTAGAACGCAATAAAACGACCCTACGGTCATACGCTTTCTAATATGATGTCCATACCAGGTGGCAAAGTCTTCAACCAATTGGCAAGCCTCGTCACAGCCTCTTTCTTCACGAGCCTCACCAGATAAAATGAACACTAAAGGCTGCTCAGGGCGTTGTGGCAATAGACCTCGGGCCCACTTTCCGTGTTTTCAAGGCGAATGATGGCTTCTTTGGTGAGCATAATCACCTCTCTATCCCAGCCCTCCTGACCTTCCTCAGGTTCGTCATAGAAGCCAATATACCAGTCCAAAATTTATATGACATCGCCGACATAACCAAGCACCCCGGGGGAGCGTAGCCAGTCAGCCAAGTTGTAACAATCGGGGCGTCCGAAAACGTTTCGCAGATGTCGTTCTTGTCGCTGCACTGACGACATAGGGCTGAGATGTGGTAATCAAAATGTGAAATCGTGCATTGGTTTTCTAATGGTATCTTGGCTGGTATGGCCAGGATATGTGAGATTGGCCTTTTCTATGTAGCGAAGACACTCTCTGGCGTCTGACAACCTTTGAAATGGTTATAATTGTATTTGTACTCTTGATGTTGACTCATACGGCGAGTGAGACTCCAACCCCACGTATAGTCGTATGAGAAAATAGTAATCAACAGATAAAATACCAATCTTGTCGCTAGATAAAGTGATATATGTTGGCAACGGTGTAGTACAGATGTACTTCTTTTGCCTACACCGTTTCGACAAATCTAAGGCTTAATCCTTCAAGCTATCTAGAAAAAATATATAGGGGTAGTAGGAATAATCAAAAGCAGTCGCCGCTGCATGATATCGAGACAAGTGTGAGGTATTCAACATTATCATATCATATGAATGCAATTAAAGGGTACACTGTCTAGAAAGCAGAGTAGGTATGACGGGTGCAAAACTTAGGGTATGATGGATATGCCAATGGTCCAGTGCAGCGGTAAAGGGCATGAAGCCATAGTCTGCACTAATAGACGTCGGAGAGGCTCCACTTATGAGGAAACGATCTTAGTATAGCCCTAAGCGGGGATCCCTGCAGCACAGAGCACTAAGCATAAGGCTATATAGAAGAGCATTCGTGGGGAGGCTTCGCTTCACATGAAAATGGCTCTCCTTTGGGGTATGCCTGAATCACGTGCAAATGGATTATCAAGATGCTGGGCAATTTGTTCTCTTATTATTTGGGCAGATTGGGCATTTTGAGCGGCTGTCATTGAATGTTTCATTTGTACAGGATTAGTAGTAAAAAGTTATCTAAAGGTATGGGTGATCTTTCTACCGGCACCTCTGTCACATCAGCAGAGTGGTAGCAACTATAGGCGATGGCAATAATTCTAAATAATTTTAAAATTAATTAGCTAGCATTTGACACAAGATATCTGCCAGCACTCTGACGTCGACTCTGTGGGGGTTTCGCTCGGATGGAGAGTGGCAGCCCATGATATATCCGAAGACGGCTATCTAGATACTCGGTGCATGTGTCGAGACTCGATACTTACTAGTAGAAGATCATATCCGACGGGATTGACGGCAAACCCGCGGGCGAAGCGGCAAGCGTGCGAGTGATTCCCATCACCGAACCTCCCATTGGCCGACATAGCCTCGGGTAGTCCCAAGGCAGGCCAAGTTCTGCCCGCAACCTCCAGCACCCACCGCCAAATTTTATCCCACGGCCGCCATATTCTTAGTCACGTTCTCCATTGCCGGTGACGGAGAGGGGACTTACCTTAAGCCTACTTACTCTTCTTGATCTGGATCCCACGCTTGAAGTTGCTTCTTCCTTCTCCTTCTCCTTCACCATCCCGCTTGGTGCCATTCCTGTGCCCTTCTCGTCCGCCACTCCTTTCCCCCATTGCTTGCTCCCATCCTACCATGCAGTTGTCTCGTTTATAAGAGCTCCCAATTCAAGCAACACTACTGTGACCTCTCCTCTCCTACCTTGCTCCCTTTCTGAATCTCCGCCATGGCTTCGAAAGGAGCTGTCTTACCTCTTCTGAGGCGCGAATTGCGACCCACTTGGTCGCGATTCTCCAGACCCTCCGCCTCTCTCGCCCCCTTCAGCAACTCCGCCCGAATCTCGAACAGCTCCCTCGCAGCGTCCGGCAAGCGTGCCATTCGTCGCACCTCGTTCTTCCCGCCCGTTCAGACTCGAGCCTTTTCGCAATCACTATCCCGAAAGCTGACTGATGAGCATGGCAACTTTGATCCGCGACAGTTGGACAGAGAGTCGGATGAGGTCGATGTCTGTATCGTCGGTGGTGGTATGTAGAATGACCCGGACCTGTTTCGTTTGGCGTATAGAGATATGGCACAGGATTTAGTGACTAACCGACTGTCTTTATTACAACATAGGCCCTGCTGGTCTGGCTGCTGCCATCCGATTGAAGCAACTCGCCAACGAAGCCGGCAACGAGGAATTCCGTGTCATCGTGTTGGAAAAGGCCGGTGAACTCGGTGCACACGTCCTTTCGGGTAACGTCCTGGAGCCTACCGCCATGAACGAGCTGTTGCCAGATTGGTTATCGGAAGACAATCCGTCTCGCTTCGAGAATGTGACTCCGGCGAAGGAGGATAAGATGCGCTTTTTGACCAAAAACTCGGCCATTCCGATCCCTGCGCCGCCACAGATGAACAACCACGGCAACTACATTATCAGTCTGAACGAACTTACGAAGTGGATGGGAGAAAGGGCCGAGGAATTGGGTGTTGAAGTATACCCCGGATTTGCGGCCAGTGAACTCGTCTACAAGAAGTCGGATGGATCGGTTCTCGGTGTGGCCACCAATGATTTGGGTGTTGGTCGCGACGGCAAGGCCAAGGACAGCTTCGAGCGGGGAATGGAGTTCCACGCCCGCGTGACCCTTCTTGCTGAGGGTTGCCATGGTAGCTTGACGAAGCAGGTGGTCAAGAAGTACGACCTGAGGCGCGATAGCCAGCCTCAGACCTACGGTATTGGTGTGAAGGAGATCTGGGAGATCCAGCCCGAGAAGTTCAAGCCCGGTGAGATCACGCACTCCCTGGGATACCCCCTTCCTAGCGACACGTATGGTGGTGCGTGGATGTACCACTTTGGCGACAACATGGTCAGCATTGGCTTGGTGGTTGGGTTGGACTACCCGAACCCCTGGCTGTCACCCTACGGCGAGTTCCAGAAGCTCAAGCACCACCCTCTGTACAAGGACGTCCTCGAGGGTGGAAAGTGCATCTCGTACGGTGCACGGGCTCTCAACGAGGGTGGATTCCAGTCGATCCCGAAGTGCGCTTTCCCGGGAGGAGCGCTTATCGGTGATAGTGCCGGATTCTTGAACGTTCCGAAGATCAAGGGTACCCACTCCGCAATGAAGTCGGCCATGCTTGCTGCCGAATCCGCCTATGCGGCCCTGCAGGGCAGCTCGGAGGGCTCTGTATTCCTGTTCGACTATGAAGAAGCTCTGCGCAAGTCGTCCATCTGGAAGGAGCTGTACGAGGTGCGTAACATGCGGCCCTCTTTCAGCACGCCACTGGGTCTCTATGGTGGTATCCTGTACTCTGGTCTCGAAGCATACGTCCTCAAGGGCAAGGCTCCCTGGACTTTGAAGCACCACGGTACGGATGCTGCTGCGACCAAGATGGCATCTGAATGCAACAAGATCGAGTACCCCAAGCCAGACGGAGTGATCAGCTTTGATATCCTCACTAGCGTCAGCCGCACCGGTACCAACCACGAGGAAGACCAGCCGGTGCATTTGCAGGTGGAGGACTGGGACAAGCACACTGATGTTGCCTGGCCCAAGTACCAGGGTGTCGAGAACCGCTTCTGCCCTGCCGGTGTGTATGAGTACGTGGAGGACTCTAGCAAGCCTCACGGCGTTCGCTTCCAGATCAACTCTCAGAAGTGAGTTAACCCTAAATGCTCTTACTGTTTCTCTTGCTAACTAGTCATAGCTGCATTCACTGCAAGACCTGCGATATCAAGGTGCCTACCCAGGATATCAACTGGCAGACACCTCAAGGTGGAGAGGGCCCGAAGTACTTTATGACTTAGGCCTAGCGATTTTTCAACACTTACATATTTCTCTCTACCCTTCATCAGGGTACAAAAAGGATTGGATGGATAAGAGTACCCATTGTGGCGTTGGTTACTAATGTTTGATCATGTTTCAATTCCAGGCCGGCGGATGCCTGTTACGTTATTGCGTGTTGAGCCCGGACGGGGGCCTTGTATATATAGTTGTACTCCATAGTTTGCGGTGACGATGAATACTGAGTATACCGTGATACTCGGGAAATAAGCTGTTTTTCTCAGCGTAAGCTACCTGGAAGCAGCGCAGATGTCTAGATATTGTCCCAAGCTGAATGCTGAGGCAGCTTAAGCAAGTCTGATGGTAGGTGTGCTATATCACAATGAGCCTAGCAACCTCACGGCTAATTCATCATGGCTCTCCCACGAGCATATACTTCACATGATGCAACCAAGCAACCAACTAACACATGCAAATGACAAGCATCCAGGAACACACCTCCGTAAATACTCCCGAATTCCATCACTTCCCCATCACAACCCCCAAAGGACGTATCGCCTAACCTCACAACACCGTCATACACACCCTAACCCCCGCAACTACCGGTCCATCAACACTCTAAAGCAACAATCCAGACCAAGCCTTTACGGAACACACGTCAGAAAGTATCTTAATGGACTGAATGGCACGACACAGCTATAAAAGGCGCACATCCGTCTCCGAGTCCCAGATCGTCACGACTATCAAGCCTACTACGACCAAACTCACCATCACCATCACCATCATACAACAACCGTCAACAGCAAACATGGTATTTGGTACTAATTCCACCAGCATACCATCAACACGCACCGTTACCACCGCCACCCCTCGTCCCTCCTCTCCAATGGACGACGAAGATGTCGTAGAAGTGGTCGACACCGCCGCCTCCACTTCATCCTCCTCATCACCTCCATCCACCCGCCTCATGGCCGTCGGGAAATGCAAAGCGGAACTCAAATCCGGCAATATAGGCCTAGACTGTCCCTGCAGCAGAGGAATCTTCTCTCTATCCCATACCAACGATATTAGCGATAAATGCATCGACTGCGAGCACTCCATCGCAGAACACGAGGGCATTGATGTCGATATCCAACGAAAAGGCATGTCCCTTCTTACCCCCCCTAATCTCTCTAATCCATATAACCATCCCCCAACCAACAACAACAACCAAGATCTAATCATAGAAATAGAAGGAGACCCCCGGCACACAACCCTCACCAAACTCACCAATCTAATGGACCTTTACCCCCTCCTCTACGTCCGCGGCATCCCCGACAGCGGCAAAGGAACCGTGAACCAATTCCGGCGCGAGAACATCATGCTAATGACACGGGAGCAAGAAGCGAATAGTTTCTTTCTTCCTGTGGATAAGCCGCTCGAGGAGTTCGATTCGGAGGATGATCGTCTCCTCACGCAGATTTTGGGCTCGTTTAATCGTCTTTGCAATGATCCGCAGATCTTCTTCCTGTTTATTTATTTTTTGACCCTGTCGGCGTGGTTAAGTGATCGGTTTATTAAACAGGTGGTTTTGCCCTATTTGCCGGCGCCGGGGGCGGGGATGAGGGGGTTGAGATAGGGATTACTACGTAGTATTACTAGGTGATTTGGGGGTATTGGGTGGTGGGGAATTGAATGGATGTTCGGCTTATTGAATGGATGAATTATGGTTATTGTGAGTATTCTGTTGTAGTAAATTTGTAGTAGTTGTTGTAGTGAAGTCGAGATGTATACAACTAGTTAAGTGAGTATATATAGTTCCCAAAACGGTAAAATCACTACAAAAAACCAGTGTACTGACGATCCACGATAACCATAAACCAATCGAAATTAACTAACTATAGAAATGTATATCTTAGTTACTTCCTACTGCATCAAGTATGCAGCAACCGAAAAAAGGGGGTGTCAACGTGACCGACAGATGATGCTGATCACATGAAAAGGGCGAAAAAGAAAAATAGAAAACAAAAACAAACGACCCTATGACGCCAAGCTCCCGAATGCGAAAGCGATGCTGCTTTTGCCGCTTGCCGAATAAGCAAAAGCAAAGCAAGCAAGCGACAAGTAACGCTGACAGCCCATGTGATGGATGTTCATTACCGACCGACTTTTTTCTATTTATTTTAATTTGCCCCATGTTGCATAGATGCCTATTTTGTGACATCTCGATTGCTATTGTACACAGTAAGCTGATTCTTCACTTGGGCAACAACTAATAATACCGACGGAGTGGTACGGGAGTATCATTCTAGTCATGATGTCCTCCGTCCGGCATATATCCATGGTAAAGTAAAAAGTGAAAATAGACTTGAAACGGGATCCATCCCACACCAACCATTCTATCACAGTTTAGATATTCCGGGGAGGCTGAAGGTGGTGCGGTAACAAACTTAGATGGCAAAAAAAAGTATGGGAAAGGCCACCTGGCCGGATTACGTATTGAACACGGCTGTAGCCGCTGCCTGCCGACCGACCGACCGACAGTTTTGAGTCAAAAGTCGCGTCGCGGAAGTTTTCCCATATTTGCTGAGATTTGAGTTGCGCGTGAAAGCGATAAGTGGTTAGTCGCCTATAACCCTTGTCGAGGCTATTTCCGTCCCCTGCACTAAAATCGAATGAACACCGACTGCAGCGCAAGGCTACGATCGGGGGGCAAGATTTGTGGATCAAATAGGCTGGAAATTGCCTGAGATCTACTATAAGTTGTCTGGGGTATGTTATTATGGTATGGAACTTGGCTGGAAAGCGGCAAATCAAACGCCAAATGAGAGGCGAGAACAGCCTCGCGCGGGATGAACCCCATGACGCGACCGACGACGCGACCGGCGCGTACCGGGATGAGCGACCTCACGACTGGTCAACTTTCTTGGACAAACAGAAAGACTGTGACTCAAGAATGAGATTCATCAACAGCGGTTAGCTGTGACTGTGATAGTGTAGTGTCAGTAGTGATCTGTTAGAATGTTTTGGAATCCTCTTGATGATCATCGATGAATCGAGCCCAACAAAAAAAATTATCTGCCCCAAAGGCTGTATTTTTGGGGCTCGGAAGAAAGAGATCAGGAAGAGTGAAAGGGATCGAAGAAATTTTTGTTCAGTTGGCAACCGCTAAAGCGGCAAGGCAAAAGAAAAGAAGAAAAAAAAAAAAGAAAAAAGGAAAAAAGAAGGAGTGAAGGGGAAAAAGCCGAGAACAGTAAGGCGGAATGATTGGTAGACTGAAAGAATGGATGGACTGGAAAGTGGGTCAGAGTTATCAGTTGCAGGAGCGACGCGGACTGGCTGGGGAGATGAGTGGCTGCTGGCCTGCAACCCCAGCGTAAGGGGGGCGACAGCCAACGAGAACGAACGCAGGTGTGATGAGTGGAGTCGCCGATCAACAAACCAGAGATGACGGAATGGCGCTTGGCCACCCAAGAGCCGCTAGTGGAGGCGCTAACACGCAGCGAGCAGTGCCAGAGCGGCCACTTCCATGGGTGAAAGCGAGTGGAAAGCGAGTGAAAGCGACCGCTCGTCGCTGCTTTTGCCGCCGCCGCCGGGCCCAGCCCCCCCTGACGCCAGCTGCGCCCGGGCGCTGTGACTCAGCCTATATAAAGGCCCAACCTCCCACTTTCCTGTCGCTGTTGGAATTTTTGATCCTGGTCTTGGCACCGCCCGGAAAGCCATACTGTCCTCTCTTCCCGCCCGCCATCCTCCCCTCCCCTCCCTATACACTCTCTCCACACTCACGTACGGTTTGCAGAGATTACTGCTGATATCAGCTGTTTTATATCTCTGCTATCAACCTGCTGGATCTAAACACATTTCCGGGAAGAAGATTTTTTAGGGAAGCCAAGAAAAAAAAGAGTATCAAATCGGGAAAGAAAAATTCTTTTCTTCCCTTTTTCTCTTTTTTCTTCTGAACTCCAAACCGTTATCAGTCTCCGTTACTGAAACAGGAAGTTTGCAGCCTCAGGTGTGCATCTTCGCCACTCTCTCTCCAAATCGCAGATAGACATTCCCAATTCATACAAAAACCAAGAAAAGCAAACAAAACACGCACACCTCCCCTCTCAAAAAAAGTTGTGTCATCTACCACAAAAAAAAACAACGTGCTTTTTCTGTCATCTCACACTCCCTTCCTCTTCTGCATCTTGTTCACTTACTTCCATCCATAAGTTTGTGAACGTTGCTGCTCTTGAGTTAATCTCCCCTAGAAAACACTTGACTGTGCTTTTCTAGTCCCCTGGTCACTGCCTTATTCTCCCTTCCCATCCACCTTATCCTCCTTCCTCCACGGCGGCTTTTTGTCATCGCCTGTCACATACCTCTGCACTCCACCTTGACTTCATTCCGTTTCGTCTTCGAAACGGTTTATTGCTTGGATCCCAGAGCAGTATTGCTGCAGGGGAGACATTGACTTGTCCATCTCCCGCAAAGGGTACGTTGTTCTCTTCACTTGGTCTTAACCTCACTTGTCTTGCCTTTCCAGGCAGACACCTCAGGTGCCTGTCGCTCTTGAGTCTCTTTGAGCGTCATCTCCATCTGTCACTCACCTTGTCTGTCCTCTCTTGACTGACTTTGAGCTCTGCGTCTACACAGACTGCTATCTGCAAAAAGCTTTTCTATCTACTTTCAGCGTCGGCTGGTTTACGGCTCGAGTATTCCACTACTCACGTCGCGATGGATTCTCTTACGACCCATCCTTCTACCGCGCAGCAGGCCCGGGCCTTCACTTCCCCCGCCTCTCTGTCCTTCCCCGGTGGTGCCGGCGACTTGACTCCGCCTTCCGATAAAGACGGAAACATGGCGATGGCTCAGGGTGCGAATGGGATGATGAACGGTCAGCAGCAGGGAGGAAATGCCGCTAATGGCAACGGGGTGGCGCCCGCAACTCCAGCTGCGACTCCCGGTGCCAACACTCCGGGAAGTGGCATTGTGCCTACGTTGCAGTGAGTATACTCTTGCTGTCTCTATTTCTGGGTCACCAGATTACTGAACAATGATCTCTTTTTTTCTTTGAAGAAACATTGTCGCGACGGTCAACCTTGACTGTCGTTTGGACTTGAAAACGATCGCTCTCCACGCAAGAAATGCGGAGTACAACCCTAAGGTATTATTTTCCACACCTCCCTGTGCTTGATATGTCAGGGCATAGTGTGGCTGAACTGTTCTTTTTTCTTCCAATAGCGTTTCGCGGCCGTGATCATGCGTATCCGAGAGCCGAAGACGACCGCTTTGATCTTCGCCTCCGGCAAGATGGTGGTTACTGGTGCCAAGTCGGAGGATGACTCTAAGCTGGCTTCCAGAAAATACGCACGTATCATTCAGAAGCTTGGTTTCAATGCCAAGTTCACGGATTTCAAGATCCAGAACATCGTGGGTTCTTGCGACATCAAGTTCCCCATCCGCCTGGAGGGTTTGGCTAGTCGCCATCACAACTTCAGTTCCTACGAACCTGAATTGTTCCCCGGTCTTATCTATCGCATGATGAAGCCTAAGATCGTGCTGCTTATCTTCGTCAGTGGAAAGATCGTCCTCACTGGTGCTAAGGTCCGTGAGGAGATCTACCAGGCGTTCGAACTGATCTATCCTGTGCTTTCGGGTATGCATTGCTCTCCTCACTTCGGATTTGAAGTGGTCATCGTGCTAACCAACTGTAAAGATTTCCGTAAAGTCTAAAAGGGCATCGCCTTTTCTCAGGAAGATCTCGACCACATCGTCCTTCCCATCTTCATCAACTTGTATTAACACTTGGCTTTTCCCCTTGCACTGGCCCGCGAGGTTGTACTATGAACGGACAACGCGCTTCAACCCAGCACGGCTGATGCTTTTTTTGCTGTTCCGATTTTTTCTCTTCCTACACCTTTGCACATCACGATTTTCATGCTAGCATCTGTACGGCGTTCGAGCGATTTGTCTCTATTATCCTTTTTTCCTTCCTGTTTCAACAAACAAAGTGTCTCACCATCTTAGATAGTCGCACACCGCAGATTAAGGGGGCGGTACTGTGCGCTGGTCGAATGGTTGCCTCCTTCTAATTATTGGTTTTCTGTTCTTTGCCTATTGGCAGTGATCCTCGATGTGTATGGCTTTGGTCATCACTCGAGGTGGTTCGGACCTCCGAGGACTTGCTTGCTATTGATTCGGAGGGTTAACTTCTCAAGCTCAAGCACCCAAAAAAATCTTTCCTGTTTATTGTTCTAGATCGCTACGCTCTGCTACGGAAGTGGATGAAATACACTGGGAGAATGAAGGATGGGCGCGCGTGCCCAGGTTCCAAATAGTGGCATAATTATTCTTGACTATTTCCTTATTCCTTTGATGGGTAGAAAATGAACTCGAGACATGCATGCGCATATCCCTTGTCTGTTCCAGTGTCATATGATGTAGAACGTCAGTGTGTCGGACATTAATCTTAACTATGTAGTAGCTTGTAGTAGTTTATAGTTTAATTAGTCTTGGCTGTGTCTTATTAAAGTGTGTACCTGATAGATAACTCCTGCGGACGGACGGGAGCCTTGCATGAATTTAATTTCCCCGTGATTCGGGGTTATTATCTCCCACCCCCTCCCCCTGTTCTTCCTGAAACAGTGGGTGGTACATTATTGTCATGCAGCTGGAACCTGTCTGGGTGTTATGTAGTACTTTTTGTGTCTTTGAGGCCAGATCACGTCGGCCATGCTTTTTCCAATGAAGAAATGCTCTAACTTGGTGTAGTACTCATGTCCTTGTCTGTCCGTCTACCTATGAGTTTGATTAACATACACATATCAGATAGAACGATGAAATCTAATTCGACTAGAAGAATAGAATAAGATTTTACCTCTTGTATATCGGTGATGGACGAAATCACATTCGAAAAACTAGTCAGACGCCCTGTAAAGCCAACCAACCAACCCACCAACCATATCCGTAACATTCCCTGAAGCCCTAATCTGTCTCTCTCCTTGTTCCTTGGTACGATGTGCTGATAGGCATAGTTCCAGTTCATGTGTTGAAAGTGAAAGGACTCGGGCCTTCTTTGCTGCTTGAACAAATTGGGAGTCGTTCCATGGCTGCCGGAGGGTGGGGGGGATCATGCCCTGATTGTAATGAGGAAATGTCATGTTTACTTTACAGGGAACATTTAGTCGAGACTAGCACCGCTGTTGATTCTGTAGTGCACTTGTGAGAAGCTGTGATGCAGATAGGTGGGTGGTTGTTGGGCGAGCAACCTTGCCCAAGGACTCAGCAGGAGAGCAGATAAAACATTTCCAAGTCGCTTCTTTCTGTGATTTGATAGATATACTAGCAAGACCGCGATTACACGTCTTGCTTGCAGTCGAATCGTACAAATTTCCTAGCATCGAGTCAGATTATGGCTTGTCTCTTATATTCTCCATTTCTCCATTTCATCAGACCAAGTGCACGTAGTATGTCCCCAACCTCTATACGTACACACATCTTTTACTGCATATTTCCACCGTCAATATATACAGTCTGGTTAAGTCTACACAACAGCAAACCCTAATCTATATAACCCCAATTTTTGTTTCCTCACAGCAAACTACCTCTCTTCGCCTTCCTCGTCTTCAACAACTCGTCCATCAACCGCAACCCCTTCGGTCCTGAACGACTGCCGTCCTCAGTTCCATCGAATTGACTCTCCGACACTGCAGCGGGCCACTTCCACAAGTCCTGCAGAGCAGGATCCAGCTTACCTTCCAGTGCGTCGACGATCTTGTCGCCCAGCACGGGGAGGAATTTGTATCCGTGGCCGCTGCCGCCCGTAGCGAGGAAGAGGCCAGGATGGTCGGGGTGGTATGTTATGATGAAGTCGCCATTGGGGCTGTGCCAAGTGTATATATTAGCCAGGAATTTAACCAAGTACACACTTGAATGGGGATAGGCACTCACGTATCAGTGTACCAGCAAACGCGAGTCTCAGCGAATGGCCGATCCGCGAAGGAGGGAATAAGCTCCTTCAAAGCCTCCCGGAATGCCTTTTCGCCTTCGGCAGGGATAGGCACTCCCTTCTCTGGCAGACTGACTTGCATGTTCTGTCCCTCGTCCGTGGTGGTGCCAGGAACCGGGACCTGGACAGGATTAACGTAACCGTAAGCATGTCGGGCAATCTTGAGCATGTTTTTGCGCGGCGGGATGATGAAGATGCCTGTCGCGAAGTTGAGGATCGTAGGCATGTGCTCGAAACGCTTCTGTTCTTCGTCCGAGATGCGGATGTACGCGATCGCTTGACCGGTTTGGACGGTTCGACCGCGTAGATCGACGAGCTTGGCGGTCCAGGCTCCTGTTGCGAGGACGACAAGGTCGGCTGTCAGAGATGAACCGTCGGTAAGGTTGACACCCGTGACTCTGTTGGACTTGTCGTTGCTGTATTGGAGACTGCTCACGTCGCCAGTCTTGAAGATGACCTTTCCTTCCTGGTCCAGACGCTGCTTGGTGTACCGGACACCCGCTTCGGCGTCGGACCAGCCTGAGCCCCAGTTAACGTAGCCACCTGCAACACTGCGGTTCACTCCGTAGGCCGGGGCGACACGCGCGACCTCCTCGCGAGTGGGGAGGAGCTCGACATCTTGGCCGGGGATTTGCTTGACGTTCTCGTAGCTCTTGTTGGCGTAGTCGCGGGCATTGGTACTACCGGGGGGATAGACCAGGAGAAGACCGTTCTGGGTGTATCGGCCTTCTTTACCCCACTCGGTGTTGCGCCAGAGATCAAGGGCTTCGGCGGCGAGTTTGGCATAGTGTGGTTGGGAGTAGTCGGCACGAACAATACGGGAGGAGTCGACGGAAGAGCCGTGCGGGTTGGGGATAATCGGGGAGGCTTCCAGGAGGGTGATCTGAGAGTTGGGGTGACGGTGCGAGAGGGAGAGCGCAGTAGATACTGGATTGAATGAGCAAGTTGGCTCATGCTGGAGTTTCGGGAGAACAATGGGTGCGGTGTGTGTGGTGCGACTTACGGCCGAAGACCCCTCCGCCGACAATAAGAATGTTGGCGGGGAGTGACATGTTGCGGGTGGAGGAATAAGATAGATATATAAGAGAGAAGGCGAGAATGGTAAACGGAGTATATTGAGAGGAGGTCGACTCTCAAAGGATGAGGGGAAGAAAGAGACTATATAGTTGGTGGTATGATTCGGAGATGCAGCGATAACGGCGCATTGGCAAATGAAATTAACAAGCTCGTGCCTGATTGTCTTGGCGGTCGGTGTCCGATCTTTGAGTTTCTCCAACTTCTCCATCTTTTCCTCTTCCCACCTCCGCACCTTATACCATATCACTCCAGTCGCCGCAACCATGAGTGCACCACGGGTCGGGCGAGCAGCGCTGAAGAAGGCCAAGTTGCCTGCTTCTGCTTCTGCTTCCAAGCCAGCGCCTCGATTTCCAGTGGCAGATGGCACCGGGTTAGTCTCGTCGACTCCGCATTGCCCATGTCGCTTTTATCAGCAACATATCCAGTCCACGCCTACTGACTCACTGTGATATGCAGACCCAAAACCCTACCTAAACGTGCCAACCAACACCTCAAGGACCTCCCTTCCACGCCTCCGCCCGCCCCCGTATCCCCCAGAATCATGACCATCCTCGGCGTCAGCGCCCTCACACTCAGCACCTACATCGGCTACCTCTACGCCTCCTACCGTCGCGAAGTCACCCAATCGCAATCTCTCTCCGTTCCCCACGATGTCTCCGACCGCTACAATCACACCGCACGCACCTTCGACGCAGACGTCGAAATGTCCGAGAAAGTCATGCGCATGGGCTCCAAGCGCGCAGACCTGATCAGTCGCGCACGTGGCGATGTCCTCGAAGTCAGCTGCGGTACGGGTCGAAACCTCCAGTATTATGAGCTCGGGCAGCGGAGGGGACTCGATAACAAGGGACGTGTAGGTGTGCATGGATGCCGGTCCGTCACATTTGTGGATCTGAGTCCGGAGATGGTGGAGATCACCAAGGCCAAGTTTGCAAAACAGTTCCCGGAGCATGAGGTGCCGGTGAACTTCGAGGTGCAGGATGCGGCAGGTGTGTCTAGGCGTCCGGTTGATCCGTCACGGAAGGGTGACGAGGGTTATTATGATACGGTGGTGCAGACCATGGGGCTGTGTTCGATGCCAGATCCGGTGGGCACGTTGCGCCATCTGGGGACGGTTGTTGAGCCGAACAAGGGTGAGATCTTGTTGTTGGAGCACGGGCGGTCGCATTATGATTGGCTCAATCGTATCTTGGATAATTTGGCGTCGGCGCATGCGGATAGGCATGGGTGTTGGTGGAATCGGGATATTGGGAAGATTGTGCGGGATAGTGGGTTGGAGGTGGTGGAAGAGAAGCGCTGGCATTTTGGGACGACATGGAAGTATGTCTTGCGGCCGGCGAGGAGAGAGAAGTGATTATATAGGAGATGTCACTTGTATATTACTAGCTAGGGATTTTGATAGACTTTGATGACTGGATGTATTTGTAAATATGCATAGCGGGGTTATAGTTGTGACTGTATAATCAGACAATTTGGATCACAATGTGAAGATGACTTGACTAGTATCTACTCGCTACTATTCACCTTAGCTAGAGCTGTATCTTGTAGCTTAACTAAAGTAAACAAGTATTGAATAATGAGGTAAGCATTATGCTTATGATCATAAGTAGTAGTTAACCTAACCAGTGACATTCTTGTATGGAAACATGAATAAATATACTTCTAATTCAACCAAGGTACTATAGTAACGGAAACATCAAACCATTATCCTTAACCCCAGTCTCATTTATACCATACTCCCCGGATTATACTAAAATATTCCTAATACCAAACTCTAACCTGCTACTCGAAATCCCACCCCATTTTCCCAGTCACGCGACGCGAACACATCACCGGGCCAACAATTCCAAACCAGAACCGGTGTTGAGAAAATCCATCAAAACCAAGGTTTGACCCGATCATCTGAGAACAGTAGAAGCATTAGATCGTCGAGATGAAGTCAAGATGGCGTTGTGATTACGATGATGCTCTGGATCTGCGTCTGCGGGGTAAACATAGATGTGTTGGCCCTGATGTTGGCGTGGACTAAACTACATGTAGGTTAGGCTGGGATGCTACCTGTGTGTTGTGTAGTATGTATGTATGTAGGTCCCCTCACAGGATACAGTGTATATATTATCTATTATTAATGTAGGTATTGTGTGTGTATGTGTATGTGCATGTAGGATAAAGTTTATCTGTATAGGAGGGGCGGAGAATATTCCTGTTTGTTTGTTTGTTGGGTGGGCGGTGTTGTGCAGTGCAGGTATTGATGGATACATTGAAGTTTGGGGGTGGTTAGGTACATGCTTTAGATGTAGGGAGGAAGGGAGGGGAAACATGCGGTCTATCTATTATTGGGGTGAGGGTTACTATTTTACTTTGCGTTGAAAGGTACGGAGAGTTAGTAGTAGATAGTAGTAGTCACTGAGTGGTCAGGGTTCCGAGAGCCCTGATCTAGACTACTACTTACTACTACCATCTCCAGGGTATAGCATTTAGAATTCAGGAGTGATATACTCCGGCTGACGCTTACTTGCTATCTACTGTCTACTGTATACACATACTTTCTTTGCATAGATAGTAAATAGACACATCAGTGCTTTGAATACGAGAGCTGAATAGTGGGACAGACCCATCACCAAAGAGTACCGTGCATGAAATCCTGACGATCTGTGCACCGACAGAAGCTGAAGAGGTGGGATGATGATGTGATGCCGATGACGATACACAACTTCAATTCCCAGCCTGTCTGTCCTGCTGTATTCCAGCTGCAGATGCTGCCCGCCACGGAAAAGAGTGGAGATAAAGTACATACATACATACATACTACGTACATTGCAGCATGTGAGTTGTACGACTTCCCCTTCCACTCTCCCACCTCTCCGTCTCTACCCATCCTCTTCCCGTCCATCTGCATTGCATTCCTGGACTGCAGGAACTATGAAAATTGCATACGTACAATGATGAATGCATGGTGGAGAGAGAAAGTGGAGGGTGGAGAGTGGCTGTGACTAACTAACCAACCCATTGTCTTGTCTGCATTATTCTTTTTGTTGCTCCGTCGAGAACATACTTGGAAACAATGGATAACATTCTCCTCCTAGGCAACAGATAGGTAACTAACGATGGAGTATGAAGATGAGACCTGGAATGAATCATAGTTAACTATCGTTGGTGATGGTGACTTAGATGATTGGTGAACCGTCCACCTGTCGCATAAGGTTGGTGATCCCTTGCTGAGATGTGATACATCGCTCATTTTCCCGATCTACAGTAGGGAAAGGCAGATAATATTTACTGTGTGTGTGTCTGTGTGCACACAGACACACACATCGCATAGCTGAAGCCATAGGTATATTCTGTCCTATCAACCACTATCTATCTACAAGAGACTGGCCAGCTCCTCCTGCTACTGCAGTGCACAGCAATATGCATGACAGCCTCGTCGCGGTATCCCAAATCCACTGCATTTCCCCCCAGCCAAGACTAGGAGTGGCGAGGCCCGGGTTCCATGCAGAAAGGAGCGCGCTGTGCCCTTTGTCCAGCTCTGGTCTTAGCGCGTCCTCTCATCCATCCGATTGGGTCCTCTTCCAATCTTCTAGACGACCCGGCATCTACTCCACTCTCGCCGATCTGATTCGCCATAGGCTCCAAACGGCGACGCTAGGAACGATTATCCTTGGGACCGCGGTTGTAGGTGGAGCTACTGTGTACACCGTGATTCGTTACGTTTTTGCCTGCCTCCATTTCTCCTACGAAGTTAGTGCATAAGTCAAGTAACTTGGAAGGCTAGCGCCTGCAGCAGCGCTATGCGCTAGTGTAAGGCTCTTGTTTGTAGTGCTTTTTCCCTTCCTTTCATTTTTTTTTCTTTTACTTTTTCGGTGGTGGTGTGTGTCCCTTTTTCTCTGTCCCAAGGTTTGGTCCTACTTTTTCGAGTCACCAGCACTAGGCTCCCATGGCCAACACACTTCACACCCACTTGTCATGGACCAAAGCATTCCTTCAAGCTAGGCTGATGAGTACCATGGAAGGTGTTAAAGCTATGATGCATCTACCCGTAGGTGGTTGCCGCCGTTTTGCCGTCAGTGGGAGGGACACAGTATATACCATTGTAGTTTGAAGTATTGCCCCGTAGTTTTTAGACAAAACGACCGAGCAAAAGACTTGTTACTTGTTAGAGGCTAGGGAAAAAGAAGAAACATCAAATCCGATAGTCCCAAAAAATGGTCCGATTTTCGCGGAATCTGTCGGTGAGAAAAAGAAAACAAATAAACAACCACTCCGAGTTTTAGTCTGGAAGTTCAAGAAACTGGGCTGGAAGTAGTAAGTCAGTAAGTAGGTCGGTCGCCTTGATCGCGGGTTAGGGATGTTCGAGCAGGGCTTGTTTGTTTCTGTCTATCTATCAGAAAAATTTCTGCGCAGCAACCAGGTCCCAAGGCGCTCCAGTGAGCTGCAGGTTAGCCAGCAGTAGCTACCCGATTCGCCCTCCCTTGGATTGACTCCACGGAGCATACTCCATCATGGAGTCCATGCAGAACCTCAGTTGATCACGGTCTCCTCCACCAATCAACATCGCGGGCTTTCATTCTGGTCGTCATAGACACATGGTTGGTTCCACCGTACTTTTTGCCCCTTCAGTCCATCGGCCGTGTTTTAGTTTCGCTTCTCGCCCATCTTTCGCCCTCGGCCGGTCTCCTTCCCAGTGTGTGTGTCCAGTTGACGCTCTTTTTTGTGCTTGGGTTGCTTTGGTCGCGACACACGGACATTTTTCTTTCTTTCCTTTGAGGATAGGGGATTGGGATAAAGCGGTGTAGATGTGTACATCCTCTAGTCTCTTCTTAGTAGATTATATTCAATCTTCCGACTGTGGGGGGTTGCTCAAGAAGAAAGAGATAGATCCAAAAGCAGCGATAACAATCCCCTAGAATGGAATAACAAAAACAAGACACATCTTCAAATTTGAATTTTATTTATTTTATATTTTTTCTTCTCA